GGCAAAAAGAAAGGGCCATAATATTAATAACTCCAGTAAATAAAACTCATGTAAGAGAATTAGGTATTTTATACAAAGCTTTGTATGTTGAAAGCTTTGGCGGAGGTAAGGAATGGGTGTAAAATGGCTTATGATAAAGGATTCATGGTAGCTTTAAAGCCTGGGAAAGTTCTGTTTTCTGGCGTGCAATATTTTCAGCTACTAAAGTGGTAGCTGTCGAACAGTCACTGATCCAGCTGGTACACGGTGTCAGCACTCATGCCCCTTCTGGCGAAGCTTGATGCTGCCAGTCACAAAGGCGTATGTATTTTTGCTCTGAGAATATGACTGCTTCGATGCAGAGCTGCACAGTCAGTTAAAAAGGCCCATTATCTGGTTCATAAAGGGCCGAAAAGCTCCCAGGCCATACAGAGTGCCATTGTTTTCCTAAATCTCTTTCATGACTTGTTAGCAGCTTAATTCGAAGCAGAGCGGATTGTTTTCACTGGGTGGGATAAAAGAATTCTCTGAAAGGATCATTTCACAGCGAGCAGGCTTTCCCCACAGAGTTCTGTGGACGAAGAGCAGGTCAGTTTACAGTTTCCACTTAGGTTTTCTGTGCCCTCTCCTTCCCATACACTTCTGTTCTCTGGCTGGGTCATCAGTGAAGGAAACACAACACCTAGCTTCTATTAAATGGGCTTCTCACTGCACCTAACATATGTGAGGGGGCAGACAGGGCACCAAAATGAATTTTGTCTTCTACTATCTCAATCACTCACTGTGCGTGATGATTCTTAGCTTTTCACTTCACTTCTACAATCCAACTGCTGAACACAAAATATCACACTGCATCACACCGAACTAGTTTCAGCTGAGCAAGAATTTGTTAGGAGTCAACGATACCTTAAATGGGTTCTCCGTCCGTCCTATTGTATCGTCTCTGTTAACAGAACTAGACTACATAAAAGAGACCAAAATGAGTCAAACACAGACACTGGCACAGGCAAATTCAGATCTCCCTTTCAACCGAAGCAATCATTGCATCTTTCACTGCGGGGTCGACATCAGTCTCTTCTAATCACTGACACCAGGATTTGTATGCAAGTCTCCGGTTATGAATAATACAAAAAAGTATGTCACAGACGTAAAAGTCTGCCGCAGCATAGATTTTATTTAAACTACTTTTGCGGGCTACTTCTGTACAACAAGGCACCTGCCCACCAGAAACCACAGTACCCTTTGATGTACTTTTTCTCTGTGTCTCATGCTGTAGGCAGCTTGTGCTGAATCCCTTTTTACATTTTACAAATAAAATGAGCTTAGATGTCCATCTAAGGAAAGTTGCAAACAAGAGGAGACCATCCAGCCAGCTTGGTAGTGAGCAGCTAACTGATACAAGGATCTCATCCATCCATTTCTTGAAAGAAGCCAGGGTATCAGCTTCAACAATGCAGCTGCGCAGCTTGTTCCATTCTCCTACAACCCTTCATGCATAAAGGAGTGCCTTCTATTCTGTTTTAAATATACTTCCCTTACTTTCCATTTGTACCCTCTGGGTTGTGTTTTGATGTTGATTTTTATTATGTCCACAGTGTTCACTTTGTCAGTGCCTTTGAGGATTTTGAAAATGTGAATTAGTTACCATCATAGTCTTCTGTCAGTGCAGGGTACTCCCTGCAAAGATCCCGGGAATTTATATGATTGCTCTTCTCTGGAATTAATTCAGTATTATTTTTGTAGCATTGTGAACATAATTGTACCCAGCATTGTAAATGAGGTCTTACTAATGCATTGTATAATTGTAACCTTGTATTCCTTGATTTATCTGCTACAGTTTAGCTAAACACTGTTTTGTATTGTTTCACTATATTGTCTGTAAAAGATGTAAATGGTGTATCAGTAGGAACACTTACTTATTTCTCTAAAGTAGCTTCTTCAAGTTTGTTGTTTCTCAACTTTCATTTATAGTTCATGTTTTTGCTGCCTGCAACCCTGCATGTCTCTACTTTAAATGCCAGGTGTTTTCCCAGTCCTGGGTTATAGTTTCTTTGCCTTTGTTTCTCAGTCTCAACATTATTTTCTGTTCTTCCTAACGCAGTGTTATAGTGTTACTTTATACTATAGTAATACGTTCTTTAAAATTTCACTTACTTCACTTTTTTCACAGTATAGGAAAAATAAATAAGACAAGCATTTGTTCTCTCCACTTAGGATGTCCTTAGAAGTTAAGGTGTGAACTAACAATTCAGGACTAAATAAAGAAATGATGTGTGCATTAGAGGAATACTATGCCAAAAATGGTGAGCAGAAGTTAAATCGCTTCAGTTTTTGGCAGCATTTTGTAAGTAAAGTTCAGCTTTACCTTGGCTTCCTAAAACAGTGTTCCAAGATACAGAATATAAAGTAAAGATCTTTGGCTCCAATCTGTCAGACATCTTTGTCTGAATGGCTGATTTCTGCTGGAGAGTCAGAGGTCAGACCACAAGGACCGGGAGAAACAACTATAAAGCTGATTCCATCCAACAAATGCAATGACACTTATTATTGTTCTACCAAAATGCCTCACAGTTAAAAAGCAAGCCTGAATTAACCTTGCCGTTGTGATGTCATTACCTTTACTTCAGAAAGCCAAAAGACTGTGAAGAGTAGCTTGTTTCCTTAGCTTAGTCTATGTCTTACAATCTTGGACTATGTTCCTGGCCATGGGTCGGGCTCAGAAATGATTTTTAATGCAGCCCCTGTTATATCACTTGGTTGTCTCAGGTTTATACCTGCGACCCTACTAAATGCTTGTGTTGGCTCCTGGTCTCCACTTCCACTCGTTAGGTCATTCAGTCTTGTCAGCAGCTCTTTGTTTTTTATGTTGGCTTGAGAACCCAACCCAAGTGAGAGGGGAGTGAGTGCAAAGATCTCAGACAACTGAGAGAGGTTGCTGTGTGGTGACAGAATACACTTGTAAGGGCACTTGGGCAAAAACATTTATGCCCTCTCTCAAAGCAGAACTAAGGAAGCAAGTCAAGCCTATCAGAACAAAAGAATAAACTCAAGCCAGAAGGATCAATACAAAAATAGATTTCTGCCATGTTATTATGACTGAACTATAATTTTGCTGAAGCTAAGTGACCTTACATGAGGAATTAGATTACAGTGTCTCGATAACGGTACACAAGAGGTGATTTGCCATTTGCTTTTCTTTTCTATGAACATAAGAAAGGTTCTAAACAAAAAAAGGCTTTTCAGCCCAGCTGTCTTGGTTCATGAATTGTGTCCCAGGATCTTATCATCTCCAGGTGGAGAGGTAAGAGATTATTTCAGCCAGGGGGAAATTGAGGGAGCTGAGGACTGTGCAAGCCCAAAGTAGGTTTAATCACAGCACTGAGGTTAAATCAGATGGTTTAACACCTTATTCAAAATATAGACCTCTGACAGATTTTCTCCTGTCCTCAACTAGGGTGTTAGTTTAGAAATTCTGGACCAGAGGAAAGTGAGCCACCTGCTGGTTCGTCATCTTTCAGACATCTTATTCTTTTTAACAATTTTATGAAGCGCTTCTTCCATCTTATCCTGCCATCCATCCATTTTCTAACTGCTTTATCCAATACACAGTCACAGGGGAGCCGGTGTTTATCCAAGCAAGCAACAGACACAAGACAGGGTACACCCTGGATGCACTGCCAGTCCATATCAGGGCAGACACTGACTCAAATGCACTCACTCACACCAGGGCCAGTTTTCCAAGAAGTCAATTAACCTACCAGTTTCTTTGTCCTTGGACTATGTGAGGAAACCAGAGCTTCCAAAAGAAACACGCACAAACATAGGGAAAACATACAAACTCCGCACAGATTGCACCCTGAAGCCCAAAATTAGCCCCAAGACCCCAGTGCTGTGAGGCAGCACTGCTAACCACTGCATCAACATGTCATCCTCTTAATTTATTATTAATTTACCTCTTAATTTATTATGTCATTTAGACTACTACGCTCTTGACATTCAGTCACTTGTTGGATGAAACTTTTTTCATGTCAGGATAATCTTTCCCCATTGCCTTTAAAATAGCTTGACAAAATTAAGAAATACCTCTGACATGATAGGTTAAATATAAAGAAATAAGTTCTTCATAAAAGCCATTTTCCATAAAAGATTATTTCACAGCAATCGAAATCATCTTCAAATACCAACAAGCCAAGAACCCAAGGAGAACCCTTTAAAAAACCTTTGTGTGTGTGCATAACAACACAAAATGACTCCATAACAGCCCACGTGTGGCAAAACATTATCTAACATATTTTCCTGAGTAATCTCAGAATGACTGTTTATAGACAAGTTTATCCATTCCTGCCATTCTCTGGAAAAAATTCAGCAGAAAACACTTTTCTTGCCAGGATCTCAGAGGTGATAGAAGTGTGTCCAGCCCTGTTTTGATCTTGATAAGCAGGAACGAGTTTTGAGATAGGAAGTTTTCAGATACACTCTGTGAGAAAGAAACTAAGAGAAAGAAACTAAAACGTACCTAACACCGAAGGAACCTTTCTCTTCTGAAAATCACATTTTTCTACCTGAATATTTCAGGTGCAAAAACAAGACAAAGGACAGCAGAAATGCAGTTGTTTTTCAAACACACAAGCACACACACACAACCACAAACATACAAACACACATTAAATGCAGGAGCAAAGTAAAAAAGTAAAATCTAAGAGATAAACCAATGAGAGAGCATATTCCAAGAAGAAACAGAAATTTGCTCCTGTTGTGCATTACTAAGTTGGAAGTATGCCCACCTAATATATATAAATATATTTGTTATATCAATTTTTCTAAGAGTAACAAATCACTAAAATAACGGAGGTATTGTATTCAATGTACAAGCATTTATGCAGGTACACTATAGTGATGAATTTACCTGAGGGTAAAATATCTTTGTTTTGCTAAAACACATCCTGGATTTCACCATCAAAGAGCTAGAAAAAGTAAACAATATGTAAACAATATGAATTAATTAAACTGAAACAACTTACCTTCACATATTCCAGTGTGGGATCCATACAGTACTGCTCCCTGCCAGAAAACAAGGAATAAAAACTCCTTTTAATCCACAAAGACACAGATTTCTGTGATGCACATCACATACAGAAATTTCCCAAGCAACGTCAACACCCTTGCAGACCTACTTCCCAGACAACTGTAATCTGTAAAGAGTTCTGTACAAAAACAGAATGAGCTCCTGTCTCTTGGAGAGCAGAAAGCAAGAGTGCTGACTTCTAACCACGACACAAACTTGCGGGGTTACAAGAGTTCAGAGTTCACCTACATGATGTCACACATGTCAGATAATTGTAGCAATAGGATTTAAACAAACTCCACCAGACTGACACTTCTTTAGAAAAGTACTGTCATTTCTTGATGCTGCTGTTTTCCAAAAACATTAAAAGGTATTAGAAGAACACAAAGAAAGTCCAAATTAAAACAAGATGAAAGGCAATCTTTCAGAATTGACAGAATAGCAATGAGCCCCTGTTATTCATTGATGTAAAGCATCTTCCAGGTTCTTCTGAGCACTGTTCTCTACACTTTCAAGCTTTTTATTTGGTGCTTATGGAGGCTTAAGTATAAAATCTGAACGGCAAAGGATTAGAGACAAGAGGAAAATTAATTCCCCAAGACTTTAATGAGATTGTTTCAGAGGAACCAGTGGAACCAGGAAAAAAAACATTTCCCTGACATTCTGTGAATTGAGTTAAGACATTGACTACTAATTGTACTAACTTTGACTAAAACTGAAAACCAAAGAAATATCCTAATACAAAAACTCAATACAGCACTGTATGTACATTTTCTGTCAGCGAATGTCAATGTCAGTCAATGTTCCGACACAATCAAGAGTCTTAACTCCCCTAAGTAATGAAATAGCCCACATTCCTTTATTCAAAGGCGCACAATATAATTTATACCCAAGATGTAGGAAATGAAATAGAATCAGATCCTGGAAAGCTCTCTCACCACATCCTTCAGGTTCTGGAAAAAACACTGCATTCAGCATTTTCCAGATTTAGCCCTTTAAACAAGTCTGCTTTTTCACAAAAGTCGTCCCCCCCTTCCCTCCTCAGTCTTTTATCTTGGAGTTCTGGGTATCAAAACAGAAGTTGTTACAATGTTCTAGCCTGATCTCAGAAGAGAATCCAAGCAGAGCTGGGCCTGGTTAGTATTGGTTAGCCCCCCAATAAAAGCAAGTAGTCCTGGTAGACCAGTAGGTGGCATTCTGTCGTTTAGACTAGAATTTCTAAAACCAATAACCCAGTTTGGAAGTGCAGTAGGAGGTATAAATTAATGACATTAAACAGAGGTCTTGATTATTAAACGTTAATGTTCAAAAGGGTAAAGGTGGTAAGCCTTGTGTTATGGTTCCATTTCACTCTGGGCTGCCCCAGTCAGGCTATCCTAAAGTCGCCTGCCTAGATATAAAGCATTTTGGGATCCAATGGAATAAAAACTGTTATATGACTACAATTAATTATTAAATAAATGGTTTGTGCAGGCCAAACCTAACTTTTGTTCATTTTTCCTGGCACAAAGAGAAAGCAGTGATGTGCCACCTGTAGAATAACAACTCTTAAAATCGCACAGCATCTCAGGAATGTGAGAAGCCAAACAAATACTCTTGTGAAATATAAAAACAAAACAAGTGCTGACCAACATAAGAAAGCACAAAAAGATACATCATCTTTTGACAGGCAATTCAGACATTGAGATGACAGCTCTTTGCTCCATGAGGAGATGAGATCAAAAATGAACGTACATGGAAGAAATTGTCACTCAAAGAAATATACTTGCTCTCACCACTTCTGGTATTTCAGTCAGTAGTCTGTATCTGAAGTCTGAAAGGCCATATTAAAAGCAGCAGCTATTTCACTGTCCAAATCAGTCCTCAAAACTCAGGCAATGCCTGGTTTGACCACCTCTCATACTGTACCTTGTTTATTGTCATACTGTACCTTGAGTCATCCATGCTAAACATGTTGTGAATATGGAAAATACTGTTAGTAACAAGAGCAACAAAAAATCCTTGAAATAAACATGAATTGAGCTTTTTTATTATACCAGCACATTAATGAAGGTATTGTTCCATTGTGATGTGAAAGCATTTCCACAACACAATGCTTTCATTTAATACTTTCAGCTTTAGGCCTTTGTTTTCTTTGATTGAATGGACACTAATTTTATATTCTCTTCCTCCTGCACCAATTTCAATAAACAAAGCTGTCATTGCAGCTCTGGGTCATGGTGTGTGGTACAATACCTTTGATGGGGCTGAACGGCTTTTAAGTTCTATTTAAAACCAGTGTTACAACTGATAAATTACAACAACGGATAAATTACCATCAACCTGTTTTATAGATCCACACACTGCACCGGGAGATGGAGGCGTCAAATGAGAACCAGGTTGCTGTTGGTAGTGTAACTGGTCGACCAGCAGGTGGTGCTCTTCCTTCAGAGAGGCTGCCTTGCTTGTATTGCAGGGTTACATTCCCATACTCATTTGCTGGCACTTTCCCACATTTGCCTCTATCCATGATTGTGCACGAGACTCTTGGAATAAGACTCTTGGAATAATCAAATTATCTCCTATGCCTACATCAAGAGGTGTTAGCGGGACTAGTAGGGGGCACTCTCCCTGCGGTCTGTGTGGCTCCAAATGCCCAAGTATAGTGATGGGGACACTATACTGTAAAAATGCACGTCCTTAGGACGAGACTTGTGGTACTTAGAAATCCCAGGGTGTTACCCCGGTGTCCTGGCCAAATTTCGCTCCCCACTGATAGCTGATGTGTGGGGAGCGTTCTGGCGCACTATGGCTGCTGTCACATCATCCAGGTGGATGCTGCACATTGGTGGTGGTGGAGGGGAGTCCCCATTACTGTAAAGTGCTTTGAGTGGAGTGTCTAGAAAAGCGCTATAAAAGTGTAAGGAATTATTATTTATTTTTCAGATTAAAAAAGTAACAGATTTGCTCACCATTTTATGTTCTGGACATCAAGGGTGATGTGCAAACCTAGTGTTTCATAAACTGTACAGGCACTACAGATTTTAAATGGAAAGAAGAGGTTACTTGTGAAAGGACAAATCTTCATGTTGACACATCTTATGTGTCATTGATCAAGAAGCAAAGCATATCTCTCAGATGCATTTGGTTTAAAATATTTTTTTCAATCTTTAATAGACATCATCAACAAAGCATTAACCCAACATGTTTGATACCAGTACCAAAACATAAACCAATTACAAAATGAGAACTGGGAGCACAGCTTTACACAGAGGATACTTGTGAGTATTGAACAAGCTACACATCCATGTTGTTGAAGTCTGCCTTCTTTCAGAAAGGAGGAGATCCTTGGATACATTAATTACAAACTACCAATGGGCTAGATGGGCTCATTGGCCTCCTGGGCTTTCTGTGGTTGGCCTGAGCCATGAATGGCAAAATCACAGAAAAGTGAGTATCTTTCCTAACGTATAAAAGTAATAAACATGACAGTTTGGCCATATGAAATCCTGGAGTTGAAAAGCAAACCGCCAAACTGTCCAGGGTTGTGGTTTATACTGTATCATAATACAGTTCTCAGAATCTCAAAGTACATCACAGCAGATTCCACACATCCACTCTATTCTCAATTCATAATTCTCCCATCAGGGAGATGGAATAGGGTACAAAAATAAAATTTATAAGAAGTCTTTTGTCCCCTCTGCAATAAAACTGCTCAATGAATGTATGTAAATGTAGTTCCCCCACAACCTATTTATTTATCCATTTATTTATGCATCACATCCTGTTGTTGTGATTTTATGTGATATATGTAAAATGTGTATGTCAAATGTGATGTATCAAAATCTCCAGTCCCTGAGACATTCTAACAATTGACACAGGAGTCCTGGCACACCACGGGTTAAAGCATGTGAACGTTCGAAATCATCATTTGCGGACAATATGAAACAATGGTGCGCATGGAAAAAAAGGAGAATGACATCATCTACATAAAGCACTCAACTAAGGAACCAGTAATTTGGCTGTCATCCAGCCCACTGAACCACAACAGTATTGTTCCTTAGAAAATTATTCTCAAGCATGAAAGTAGGTATTGCAGGACAGAGTTTCAGAAATTAAAATCAAGCTTGGCAATGATGCAGTGCGGCTCACAACAGGCCAGCCAGTTTATAATCTGATAGATGTTCAGCTTTGAAAAGACAGCTGCATTCAAACTGAATCTGAGAAAGGGCTGGCTGGGCTGTCATGGGCCTGGTGGTGTTTGTTGACAGCAGAGAAGTGTATGTATCCTGAGAACAGGTCCTATTTACTTGAACTTGGAGATGTGGGTTTCAGCTGCTAGCTTCACTGTAATGAAGTTACTGTAATGAACCATCATTTGTAAAATTGTACTTTCAGCAGGTGCCGTTCTATGAAAAGCAGCACACAATTCCTTAAAATATTAATACTGTATAATAAAATGATCATTATTGCATATATTATTTACTTAAAATACATACTATGTGTATATCGTTAATCCTTAAATAATGCAGGATGGCAATGTCTTGTAGTGGTTAGGATTCTAGATGGGGATGTCCCAGGTGTGATCCTGTTGTTGTACCTACTTTAGTGTAAACAAGGTACAGCACTTACATTGTTCTGGTAAATACCCCGATGTGTGACTCATCCCCCATGTCATTATCGAGAGTAATAATTAATGTTTAATTTTATACCTGCTTAAATCGTGGTTTAAAATAAAAAGCTAAAGAAAACCCATGAAAGTACATCATTTCATTTTAGTTTTATACAAGAAAGTGTTTTCTCAGTGTGTTAAAGCACACCTAATTTCCACAGATTTCAGTTATATTTCCCTTGCCGAACTTGGTAAAGTATTTTAAAGCAGAAGAATCCATTTTTAATTTTTAACGTGTTCTTTTCTGAATTCCTGAGTTACTTCTGAAATGTTTTACACATTAGCAACTCTGTGAAAACTTTAAAATCAGAGATATGGTTATGAAAGTGGAGTGAGGGTGACCAG